GAAGGTGAGGCAGGTGGATTGCTTGAGCACAAGAGTTCAAAGCCACATGGAAAAACCCTGTCTTTACAAAAAAATACAAAAATTAGCTGGATCTGGTGACATGCACTTGTAGTCCCAGCTGCCAGAGAGACTGAGGTGAGAGGATATATTGAGCCCAGGAGGTTGAAGCTACAATAAGTTGAGATCACACCACTGCACTCCATCCTGGGCAACAGAGCAAGACCCTTCCAAAAAAATAAAAAGAATATATGACCAAATATCTGGGCACCCCATGGCCCAGTCAAGTTTACACATGAAATTTAACATTGTAGAGACTAATTGGGAAATTGTGTTAACAAACAAGATTGTTGAACAAAAGTAACAGACACAGTAATATGGAGGCTGATAGTAAAAAAAAAAAAAACAGACTGTTACTTCATTTCCATATATATATTTTAAAAGTTATTGAGAAGCTCATTAGCTGAATGACGTATTAAAGGGAGGCTTCCTGATTGGAGTGAATGTGTTTCAAGTTATTTATATGTAAAACAACAAAGATGTTACTGTTAAAGATTAGATACTGATTCAGTTTAAACATTTTTTTGAGAAAACAGCTAAAGAAGTCATTGTAGAAGCCAGAAATAGTGGCTGACACTTATAATTTGGGAGGCCGAGGCAGGTAAATTGCAGGGAAGGTGGAAGGGAGGGAGGGAGGAAGAAAGGAAGGGAGGAAAGGAAGGAAAAGAGGGAGGGATAAATGTAGGATGTATTATTTCCAAGAGAATAAGAATAAAAGGAGAATAAAGAAAACTTAATTAACTAGAAGGTAGGGAAAAAAGAGGAGAAGGAAAGATTAGCAGAACACAGGAAATAAGAGAGTAAAAATAAGTCTGAATGTATCCGTTGTAATGAATGTAAACAAGTTAAATTCACATTTTTAAAAAAGCATAGATTTTCAAATTTGATTTTAGAAAATCTAACAAAATACTATTTATGAATCATTCCTAAGACATAATGACACAATAAAGTTTGTAGTAAAGAAATGGGGAAATCAGTACAATAAAAATTAATGTTAGAAAAACTAATAACAACAACAAAAAGAAATGGAACACCAGATATGTGAGGCAGATCCTATCCAAAAGAAAAGTGTTGCAGAAATATTATTACTAGATAGCATTAAACTTAAGAGAAAACCTTTATTAAAGAAAGTCTTGACTTTACCAAAAGATATACTTACCAAGAAGTCCATGTATAACAAATGAGAGTGCAGGCATCCAATAGTGTCGTCTCCAAATACAGAAAGAAAACATTGGCAGAATTATAAGGAGAAACCGACACCTCTGCAGTAGTAGTAGATGATTATTTAATATGTAGTTGAAAAAAAATAACAGATACAGAAGATTTGGAAAATACAATTAAAATCTTAACCTGCTAGACGTATCTAAATCTTGCAGCCCAAAACTAGGAACTTCAATTTTTTGAAGACATATAAAACATTAACAAAAATGATTACATATAAAAACAGAAAGTAAAACAACCCATATTAGTATAAACATCATAAATTAGAAACAGCAGAAATCCATGTTTTTAAATAATTTTTGGATCAAAGATGAAATCATGGAAACTAAAAACTATAAATAAATGACAACAAAATTCTAGCTTGTAGCTGAAGCAAAATTTAGAGGAATGATTATAGCCTTGGAAAGTGTATTTCAAAATAAAAAACTGAAAATGAATTCTATAAAAATAGTAAAAGAATAATGTAGCAAACTCAAAGTGGGAACCAGGAAATAATGATGAAAAAGGATAAATTAAGTGAAATTAGAAGAAAAGGTACAGTAAAGAGGAGCGACAGAGCCAATGTTTGGTCTCATGAAAATACTAAAACCAACCTTTAGCAAGACTGAGACATTTTTTTAAAAAAGTTTATACAAATTAATATGAGACTAAAACAAATTTATTGCAGATTTGGAAGTTAGGTCAGGGTGGTGAGTGCATAGATTTTTTTATATTAGTTCTTTATGTTACAAATACTTCGCAATGAAAAGATCATAATCTTAGGTGGTATGCCTTAGTCCAGGCATTGCCTATTTATTCCCTGTCTGCTGTAGCATGCTTTAACAGGTACCAAGTGTCTCCTTTTCTTGTGAATCTAGCTGCAAGTGACTCATTCATTTCTGCTTTATACATGCTTTGTAGAAAATTGTAATCCTGCCCATTGTAATCCTAAAGTGGCAGAGGCAAACTGTGAAATCAACAGAATAAATGAATGCCTCTAGCAAAGTTTGAGGAGAACAGGAATCCTGTCCATGTACGGTGAAAAAAGCCAGATATAAATTCGCCAGAGCTGGTCTAGGAACAGCTTCCATAAAAGACACAGGCTTTCTTGAGGCATCTTAGTACTGGCTATGGCAAGGTTGTCAAATCACATTTACTTACCTGGTTGATGTTACTATTCATTTCTGTTGAGCGGGCAGTTCCTAAACTTCAGAATATGTGTGTAGAAGGAAGTAGGTTTACACTCTCTGGCTTGATTTGAAACACCAACACACTTTCATGAAGCCTGAATGGAAATTGCTGTGTGTTTGGCAGATACATCTTGGGTCTGCAGCACAGGCATTGACTTCCTAGAAGAACATTCTCTCTTGCTCTAAAAAAAAATGGTGGATTGCAAGAAGGGAAAAGACTTTTTGTTGAAGTTAAAATGAATGTGGACTCAATGTATGCTTTATACTAGTATTACATTTAAAACAACTGACTTCCTCTGGCAAGTTTCCTTTCATTTGAATAGGATTTATTCAACATATTCAATTTTTTTTTAAGTGTATTGCCTATGATTCTTAATCCTGATAAGTATACCACTCTTCTAAAATTTATATTGTGAAGAAAATTATATCATCAGTTTCTTTTTTCTTTTGATATTTCCCTTTTTGGCTGAAAATAAATGACCTACTTTTCTTATGTCCCAGAGCATTGTCCCTTTTCTTTTTTAAAAAAAAGAGCTTTTGTTTTATGATTTTAGCAATGAGCTTGCATATAGTTTGGTTTGAGGTCTGTAATTTTTATAGGATAGCATTATTAGTCATGACCACTTATGTATTAGTGAGCTCTTCCCCATATGGGTATGAGAATTGCCATTTACCATGACCGGGTCCATACAGGTAAGGTGCTACTATTTCCTTGAGCCTCTGTTGGCATTATGGACAACATAAAAGAATGTGTCTGCCATTACCATGTGGTGACTCGAGTGGCAGGCCAGAGAGAGCTTCCTCAGAGAAGGTGATGAGAGCTGTGGGCACTGCTTAGGACCCCTCTGACTGGCCAGTCCTTAGAATTTCTCAGGCCTGGGAAAACCGAGTTTACCAGGCATATGATTTTTAATACTATTGCTGCTATAATCTTTTCTTTTATAAGACGATGATTCCCTGCTTCCTATTCCCAATATTTGTACCACTTATCAATGGTAATCATTTTCAGAAATAATTGAATCCAACCCTATGGTTTATATGAAGTAAATGCCCAGGTCTGATTTGATTCTTACTGTTACTTAAACTTAGCAAAATACTGCTGTAGTTTTTTCCCCTAGAGACCACACAAGAACACTTTATTTAGATAGTCAGCTTAAATAATATTTTCACTTTCTACAGATAGCAATGGGCATTGAACATGGGAAGCTATGTAACTTGCCAAGGTTGCAGAGCTAGTTGTAGAGACAGGGCTGGATCAGATAGCTGGGTGATGCTCTTTTGGAGATTACATATGGCCTTTTCATCTACAGTGCAAACACATGTTCATAAATGGCTAAGTACATCAGCGTTGCTATAAGTGTGCAGTTATATGACTAAGAGTGGGCAGTAATTAAAATAATTGTACTTCATTTTTTTCTTTGCAGACTCAATACTATTCTTAAGTGAATAAAATATAATTTCCTTATTTATTTCCACAGTATTTACTAACATTTATCTTATGTGTCAGTGTTCTTATAGTATAGAGCTTGATAAAGAACATACTCTTAAACAAAATAAACAAGTTGGACCCCATATTGTCTCAGAACTTGAATGATGTATACCTGTGGTCTGTATTTTATTAATTAGATAATTATTCAGTACGCATTTTAGTTTGTGCTTGTGTGAACCAGACCATAGGCCATTTTGCTAAATTGTGGTGAATAGTTCCACTGGAGGACTTGAAAGAATCAGTTCCTAGGCAGCACCTGACTTAGCTTCAGCCTAGAGACCTGCCCATCTCCCGTACATTAAAAGGAATTCTGGCTACTGTGGCTGTCACATGCCTAGTGAGCAGTGAGGTCAAGATCTCCTACCTTGCTTTTCAAAGGATGCCACCTTTATCAGATGCCTTCCTTATTGCCCTCTCTTCTTCTGTAGCAGTTCCCTTGGGGTTCAACTTAATTTGCAAGTTGAGGCATATTTTGGGTAGAAAATTTGTATGTGGGTCTCTCTGTGTATATTTTCCTTATTTAAGATTCTCTCAATTCAGGCAATTTTACCTACTTTCCTCACTTGTGGAATGGAGATGGGATTTTATGACAGTTGATGAGAATTATTTTAGAAAGGTTTAAAATTAGAAGGTTCTTTTTTGGCTGAAAGTCATTTTCATTGGTATCATTGAAGTCTTTGAATCTGACCTGTCTTCATATACATATGCTTAGTTATAAAATACCTACCTGCAAAAGGTAAATATTTTCTTTTCTGATTTATTTTTCCCCAAATGGGCTTTTGCTAAGCTAATTTATCTACAAAAGAGACATCTGCTTTAGGTCTGTACTTGTTAATTTACCTTGGAAAAATTAGGTCATTGTCAAATCTGGCACTGTGGCTTATAAACTTGGCAAAATGGTCTAATTAAAAGCTTCTGTTAGATTATAGAAAAAGGAAAAAATGATTAATGCCAGTCATATTTTTGTTTTCATGGTTTGTGTATATGTAGGTATATGTCACTTCTCATGTTGCATTAAAAGTATGTTGACTATCTGCTAACAGTTCATCTCTTTTCTTCTACAGCCTCCAAGTCTGTTATAAATAGTATGCTACGGGACCCTTCTCAGATTCCAGATGGAGTTCTAGCAAATCAGGTCTATCAGGTATTAATCACAGCTGTCTATTTTCAGTGGCAATGCTGTTATCTGCCTAGCAGAGTAAAGGATTTTAAACCTCATTTAATTACTGTCATCATAAACTATCACTGAGGTCAGGGTGCACCATAAATGGCAATGCAATATTTGCGAGAAGAGCATTTCACTTTTTAATAGCTTGCTTTTATAGTGAATAAAAAGCATGCAATTTTTGTTTTCTGTGATTAAATCTGAACAGCCTTCTGATAGCTTTCTTTTTTGGGGGGTGGTGGAGGGAGGAAAGTAATTACTGCTTTTAGGTTACTGTTTACTGTAATAGTTTTTGTAGTTGCCCCACCCCAGACCCCTTTTCTTATTTGTCTGCAGTGCATTGTGAACGACTGCTGTTATGGACCACTGGTGGACTGCATCAAGCAGTATCCTTTCCCATAAAATTTTAGGTGCACAATTGACGAGCTTAGACTCAGTGGAGATGTGTCTAGCTTTAACCTGACATAAAGTTCTGCTTCACAAAACACATTTCATACTCTTCTATTTTACATTCAATCAACTGGAGGGTCACTACAGACCATTCTTTTCTGCAGCTTAAGGACTATCAGACCACAGGAAGATGTCAGTTCATCAGTTACATATTCGCATGCTTATTTCAAACTGCTTGGTTTTCAGTGAGTTTAAAGGTACAGAGTCATTAAGCAGGTAACGTAATGTCTTGGAATGTATCTAACCATCCCAATGAACATTTTAAAAAAATATAACAAATTTCCACTTAAAATGAGCCAAATTTTGTTGAATTTACTCGAATAAATTTAGAGCTTGGAGTGAAAAGAGGTTGTGATTAAAATGCTTCCAGAGACATCACATGTTAAAGGCAATAGATTCTTAGTGCTTAAATGCTGATTAGAATCTGAGCTGGCATTTGGAGTCCTAATAAACATTTTTAGAGGAATCAAGGTAACTTTTCCTCCTGGCATAAATTTAAGGTTGTGAAAACAGATGTCCAGTCATTTTTCATTAAAGACATGGAGATTACTAAAGAGTGAATGTTTACTTTTTAAAACAGGATTGGGCGGACAGTAACTACTTCATGAAGTAGGATGTTATTAATCAATAAATTGAGTAGTACTGCAGCAACAGAGTTTTTTGATAATCCTCAAATAAAAGTGCTATTTAAATGGTAAATAATGAGGACTATTTTTGAGAATAATTTCTATATGAGTCGATGAATTTCACTCCTCTTAATAATATAAACATGTCCCTCCTGGTATGGATTATGTTAGCGTGGATGGCACTGTGACTAATTGTGACTCAGTAATTGCCAGTCAGGAGACTTTTGCTGGAAACTCCTACTAGTCAAATCGTGTACATGTATACGTTTATATTCCACTTTATTTCACAAAGGCTTAGAGTCAGTAACATTTTTAATAAGAAAATCATGCTTATATAAGTAATCTTTGATAAACAATCTTTTAACAGAGCCCTCTTACAAGAATATTCAGCATTGGAAATACAGACCTTTATGTATTTATCCTCCAAGTCTGTTTCTCCAGTCTAGCTTAAATTAGTAAAAACACAGCATTATCCTAAGCTCAGCTTTTATTAAACCAAAGTGAAATTGTACTTCCATATTCAGTGTAAAATTAATGATAGTGATAGAAATTGTAGGAGTGCCGACCTCATGTTGCTACACTGATAAAGTTGAGCACATTCATATAACAACTAACACCATCTCAGAGTATCTGGGGTTGAATTACATGTTAATTTTAAAGCACATAAAATAGTTAAAAATCAATTTAAAGTTAAGGTTTTAAAAGCCTAATGTCTTTTGAAGGATTGCATATTGATTTTAAATATAACTATCTAATTATGTATGCATGGACTAAAGTATGAAGTCAACTGCTTTGTAAATGCCAGGAGGCTATTTTTTCAGTAATAGTTGAGATGCTTACGGGAAACTAGATTGCTGTATGGCTGGCGAAGAAAATGACTTGTGAGGTTATTTACAAGTTTTGCCCATGGTCACTGCCATACATCAATAATAGGTATTATTATAGACAAAGTCTAAGTGTTTTTGCTTATAGAGCATTATAAATTCTGTTTGGAGTATTTTCCTTACATTTTTGCCATCATTCACTTTCCTTTTCTGGCTGTGTTATTGCCAGTAGAATTTAATGTAGTACATGATTTCAATTGATAAAGATAATGACATATGTCTGTAAATTACATTCACCAAGTAGATTATAATTTTTGCAGTTTCATTATGTCTGTTGCCAGTAAAACTACAGATTTTATGTTTTCTTTTCTAGACTTTGCATTTTATATATGTTTATATCAAGCAAAGCATAATTAAGAAACATACCTGTCCAAAATTTCAAATTGGTGATTGCTTTTATCATGCAAAACAAAACAGGCTGGAAGTTTACAGAGAAGCTGATTCTGTCTTTGCACTGAAGTAATAGCAGTTTCATATAATGTCTAAATGCACTTGCATAGATATTTCCTAGACTGATCAGCAATAATTATTTTATTTCACACTGAATAAAAATTACTGGTTTTCCATGTGAGTAAATGTGCTGTTTGTGTGTTTTTCTGATAATTCAGTAATATTTACATTGCTTACTTAGTAAATTACATCATGCTGTGAGAAAGAAAGCACACATTCGGTAAATAAGATAGGCGCTAAACTTTCTTAGTGCATTATGAAAATGTTGTATTTGTGTAAGTAGAATATAGTAAATTGGCCCTTTACTAGTAAGACACTATAAAAAGCACAGTTAGCAAAGTGTATATACATTATCATTGTGCTTTCTTTTTTTTAAAAAAAAAATCTACTGTATTTCTCCCTATGCAGCCATGCCTACCTACACCTTTCCCACCACAATTCATACTCACCAAGGAAAAAAATGTGAGAAATGAGCCACCTCAACTTTCCAAAGTATGACTCCAGGACACAGCTATTAGACGAAAGCATAAACTGTGAAGGAGGGAAGGATAATGATACAGGAAGCTTCAGATGCTGTGGGTTTCATTTCTGTACCATCAGAAACCTCGGTTTCATGATTCAACATTTTAGATGTAAATAATTTACAACAATAAAAATGAGAGCACATTTATGTGGAATAGAAGTAAATAATTTAGTTCTAAAATGTGGGATGTCCCTAGTAATGAGAGACCATTGAGAGTTATTCGTCAAATGTCTTCAACGGAATCTGAAAATGTGTGAAATTTTGTGATTTAAAAATGTGTTTCCTTTATTCTGTTTCTCCTTAGAAGTTTTAAAAGCACAGCCATGTGCATTGGAGGGTAGGGGACAACTGGAGGAAAAGGCAATAATGATGACTTAGGGCCTGTTTGGCTGAAACATAAATGGTCACATCTCTTGAATTCTAAGATTTAAACGATAGTCACCTGCATGTGTTAAAAAAAAAAAATGCAAGATAATTCTCTAGAATTTTTTTGTTGTTTTTACAAATAACATAGAAGTTTTATTTAAGTTGAACTCAGGTAGTACATGATCAGAATCAGCTTCTCTAGTAAGCCAAGGAGTGACATGACCAGGTTAGTATTATCAGTGAAGGTGATGATTCACATATTTATTACCAAATGCTTTTGACTCATTTGAAATATTAGAGTAGGATAGCATTCTTTTTAGACTTTGTGCAATCTCATCTGTTTGGAAAATACACCAGACTTCCATGTTCCACTCATGATTTCATTATTTACCAGCCATGGGACCTTCAGCAAATTCCCCAGCCTTACGAAACCTTACTTTCCTTAATTGTAAAAATGTGTCTAATAGGCTGGGTGTTGTGGCTCACACCTGTAATCCCACCACTTAGGGAGGCTAGATGGACAGGTCACTTGAGGTTGGAAGTTTGAGACCAGCCTGGCCTACATGGTGAAACCCTGGTATCTACTAAAAACAAAAAAATTAGCCAGGCATGATGGCAGACACTTGTAATCCTACCTACTCGGGAGGCTGAGGCTGAAGGAAGAATTGATTGAACTCAGGAGGGAGAGGGTACAGTGAGCCAAGGAAAAAAAAATGGGGGGTGACTCCATCTCAAAAAAAAGGGGGGTGACTAATAATAGTATCTACTCATGAGGCTATTCTAAGATGGTATCTCAACGTATTTAGCACAAAGGCTTCATGAATGATATTTAAGAAATATTAGCTATTATCAATTATTACATAATTTTAATACTTTTTGAGAAGCTATATGGAGGTCATAAACATAGACTTGGCAGAGATTTTGTTGTTATCTTCTTTGCCACTCATTGACTGTAAGCCCTATACAGGTTTCTTTCTAAGCCTCGGCTTTCTCATCTGTAAAATAAGTATTATTTGTGAGGATAAAATAACCTACTTAAAAGCACTTAACACAGTGTCTAACACATAGTAAGCACTGAAAAATAGATATTCATATGTATATCTATTTATGTACATATATGTATGTACACATACACGAGAAGACTTTTGAAATACCCTCTATACCCACACCCTAATCCACAACTCTTTACTAAGATGTCTTTCCTGCAGATTACATGTATTCTTAACAAGTCATTTGTTTGGCTTGCAAGTTGCGAAAGTTCAACAACAGTTGATTGGAAGTGAAACAAAGAAGTTTCTAAATGTTAGCTTGATGACAAATGTGAATTCACAGAAGATTTACATAACTCTCTAAGATTAGGAATTCTTCTAGGACAAAGGCTGGCTAGTATTCTTTACTGTACTTAGTAAGTGCTTAACAAATGTGTGCTAAGTCAAGTTGAGGGATTTTAATTTTTTAAAACTTTGTATAATTTTTTTAAGAGATGGGGGCCTTGCTACCTTGCCCAGCAGGCCTGAAGTGATCCTTCCACCTCAGCCTCTGGAGTGGCAGGACTTACAGGCACAAGCCACCTTGCCCAACCCAATTGAAAGATTTTTAACACAGATTAAGGTACGTTTAAATGACTCTCCTTCTTTTCAAAATAAGGTACACATCCATTTAAAATCTTTGTTTGCCAAAATGTATATACAAAAATTATAGAAAGAACAGAACACAGTGGCTCACACCTGTAATCCCAGCACTTTGGGAGACTGAGGCAAGATAATCACTTCAGCCCAGGAGTTTGAGACCAGCCAGGGCAACATAGTGAGATTCTGTCTCTTAAAAAAAAAAAAAAAAAAAAAAAAATTAGCCAGACATGGTGGTGCACCTCTGTAGTCCCTGCTACTTAGGAGGCTGAGGTGAGAGGATTACTTGAACCCATGAGTTCAAGGTTATAGTGAGCTATGATTGTGCCAGTATACCCCAGCCTGGGCAACAGAACAAGACCCTGTCTCTAGAAAAAGAAAAAGAGTTTTAAAAAATTATAGAAAAATGCTGTCAAATTATTTAAATAAGGGGATGTGTATAGAGATTTCATTCCTCAAAGTTGTGGACTAAGGGTGAAAATGGCTGCTAAAACCACCTCAGTTTTTCATTTCATCTCAAAGTATAGACCTGGTATTAGCATTTCCTGCTGGTATAATTCCGCCTGTGTTACCCCTTAACTGAAACTTCCAGTGCCATTGGTCATGAGCATGAAGTCCTGCTGAGAGACATGCTTCTAGAGAAAAACCTGTCCTTCCTAGGTAAGTATTATTCACATCTTCCCTAGCTTGTGTTGTCTCCATGAGTGCTTTAAATACATGTTTTAAAAATCTTCCACTAAAGGAAGAGTGAATGATGATTGATGCTGTGCATATTATCTTTTATTGATTTGGAACTGAGCAGGAACTCAGTTACCTAATCTCCTATATATACAGCACATGCACAGGCTTGCAATTAATATTTTATAGAATAAGTGGCTGAAAAAATGCTTTAATATCTGTTGCAGTATTACTTTTGGTATCATGAGATATTAACCATAATCTAGGCCTTATGAGAAAAAGAAACAAAAGAAATATTGTCTATGAAATGTCTTATATATTAAAAAGAACAGTTAGAGAAATTCATGTTCGGTATATTTGTCTCATATATGGAACCGAATAGTACTTTCACTTGAATGCAAAATATTAAGCCTTATATTATTTTCATGCCAAACGTTCATTGACATCATGGATTTATTATGATTCTTTAAAAATCCCACATGTATTCATGTGTTTGTGTATTACAGATTATTATTTCTTTCAACATCCCTTAAGCATTAGAAATTACGCCTGAAAGGACTAGACGTATAATAAGTGGTCACAGAAACCATAAAGTACTCTACAATGAATTAATTTCTCTTCTCCACTTTAAATGTGGTAATTTGTAAAGGCCTCATATAAGTCATTTTATTTTTATACAGATCTGTTTTATGTAGATATTGAAGAGTCTGCACAATGTTTATTTTAGGACATACACAAAAAATAGAACAACATTGGATTACATAAGTTTTGTTCCAAAATGGGCCAGGAATTGGCCAAGGAAAACCAAATGCAGAGAAATTTCAAGTAAGGAAGAGGTGTTTAATGAAGTCCTATAAAGAATCTATTCTAAATCTTAATGTTTGATATTTTTATTAATAAACTGTAGAATAAAAATGAATGTATTACAAGATTGCTTTAGTTTGAAGCTTGGAGATGTCATAAATATCCTCTAGTTAGGGTTAAAGAAAGTTGATTAATTAGGAAAGTGTTCTCAAGTCACTAAATTAAATTTCAGTATGTAGAAGCAGGAAGTTTTTTCATATGGGGACAGTTGAATTGTTCAGCCTATGGAAAGAGGGTAAGTTGGAAGAAATCACCTTTTAAAAGTCTAATCAAAAGGAAAATATGTAATAGTTCAGAACCATTTGGAATGAAAGACCTATGATGCACTATGAGATATGTTTTGGAACCAGGTAGTTCTGGTAGTATTATGAAATAGATGATCACAGCGATTACTCGATAGTGGCCAATATGGCATGGCTAAGTCTATTTTGTTGTTTGTTTTAAGCCACCAACTAAGCAGCGTCATTTTCAGAGCTGCTTAGCATCACTCTCTGGGCACCATCAGCCTATGGACAGTCAGGTCTTCAGCCCCATTTCTTCGTTTGGCCTAGCTTTTGTCTGCTTCCTTCTTGAGAACTAGCCGATCCCAGCTGGGAAAAAAAGCAAAGATTGTAGATGTGGGCTAAGCTTAGTCCCAGTCCTCAACTTACTTGAACTTGAATGTGTCAGATTGGATTCACCATGGCTGACAAAAGCAGTGTAAAAATGTGGTCCGGGGTCATCTCTACTTGCAAACAAGTACAGAAAGGGGACTTAAAATTGAAATTTATGAGGCTCATCTGTTTCTCTGTGCTCTAGAATCTAGAGGTAATTATTTTATGGAAGCACACTCAAAGAGGATATTTAATTGATCTTTAAAAATAAGTGAGATATAGGAAGTTTATGCAACCCCAGTCCTGTTTTAAAGCATTTCCTCATCAGCATACAAACAAGTTGTTAATTCTTTGTAGTTTAATGTAGCACTGAATTAATATGTTTGTGGTTGAAACATGAAAATTGAAAGCTTTGTATGGAATATGGTAATGGGGTTGTTGTCCTTTTACCTTATAAATAAATATGGCTTCACAGAGATTAATTAGATTAAAAGTATTGTGCCAGGTAAACCTAGATAGATCATTTTAAAGCCAACTGTGGAAAAAATATTGGTAAATAAATAGCCCACTGATTGTATTGTTTCTTGTTTACATGTGTACACCTTGAATTTTGTTGCAGAGACATTGCAAACATGTTTAATTTATTTTGATCCTTTGCTAAGTAGAAGTAAAATATCCTTCCCTCCCCTTTTCTGTCTCTCTCTCTCTCTCTCTCTCTCTCTCTCTCTCTCTCTCTCTGTTGTTTTCTAATTTGGACTACATTCAAAAGATAAATATTCTCATTTTTTAATATATTAACCCTTCTTAATTTAAGAATTACGACTGTCTCTAAAATATTTTACTCATTTTAAATTTTCCACACATTGTGCTCTGTATTTATTTTATAAAATGTATATTTTATTTGACCTCTTATCAATAGAAAGGAAAAATAAAAGTAAATCTCTTTTTCTCTGATTCCTTCTTAAATTGTCTTGGTTTGTAACTACATCCTGAGCAATTGTACAGCACAAGATCTAGCCGGGCACTATAGGAAAGAAAAAAAGACGTGTTCTTATCATTGAAGATTTGAATGTACTGATATGAGTTCATCCTGTCTTTTAAACTTATCCAATTTGTACTTCCACACATAAGTATATTATATTAAAACAGGTAAAAGTTGAATACATGACGTTCGTTTCTCTAAAAAATATTTTTCATGCACATATTCATTTATTTCAAAAATAAGTTACTAAGTTGGATAATGTTTTAGACACTAGATAAGTCAGATGAAGTGTCTTCTTTCATGGGGTTATGGTCCAGTAGGGAGACAAGCTACAAATGAACACAGATAATTTCTAGCAATTTCAGAGAGTCCATGTAATTCTTCCCTTCATTATTTATTCATTCTTTACAATTAACTTTTGGTGTGTTCTCTGCATGCCAGGAACTACACTAGTTAGTATGAAGTGATTGATTGTAAGTACTCTGTGCTGTGCCCCCAATGCTCATAGCCAAGCACCCTGTGATCCAATGAGAATGCAGTTTTCTTTCTGATCCAGTGAGCATGCATCTCACCTAGTAGGTATTCACGTGATTGTCTTGATAATGAAAATAAATACTCAAAGCGGTTATGCTACTTTCATTAAACCTTTCAAAGACAGTTACAAATTATAGCAATATCAATCACTACCCTTTACAAATGAAGAAAATGATGCTGCCTCATGAGCTGCTTTTTCCTGAAATAGTGATGGAATTTTACCTAATCATTTGTTCTTTCTCACTGGGATCTTCCTGCCGTAGTGTATTTCTAGGATGGCCACTTGACCTCATAGGGTTGGCTCTCTTGCCAGTAGCTAACAACTCTTTTAAGTACTTGCTGTGGGCAGACACCAGTAAGAATTTTAAAGAAACTTGTAAGTTGATGAAAACATGGAGCCTTCTGGGAAAATTGAAGATAAGTTTCAGTACATGTCAGTAGTTCTTTCCAAGGATAAGTAATTTATAATTAATATTTCTTGGCCGTATCTCAGCACTTTGGGAGGCTGAGGCAGGAGGATCACATGAGGCCAGGATTCAAGAACAGCCTGGGCACCATAGGGAGATCTAGTCTCTACAAAGAATGTTTTAAAAAATTAACCGGTGTGGTGGCAGGCACCTGTTCCCAGCTACTTGGGAGGCCAAAGTGGGAGGATTACTTGAGCCCAGGAATTCAAAATTACAGTGTACTGTGGTCGTTCCACTGCACTCCAGCTTGGGTGACAGAGTGAGACCGTCTCTAACTTAGACAGACAGACAGACAGATAGATAGATAGATAGATAGATAGATAGATAGATAGATAGATAGATAGGTAGATAGGTAGATAGATAGATAGATAGATAGATAGATAGATAGATAGATAGATAGATAGATAATCAGGATTTAAAATCTCAAAAGAGATGAAGAACTTGCTGCCCACTCCTAGGCTTGGCTGCACAAAAAACTCTTCAAGTTTAAATTGAACAATAAGCATTGTGATCATCCCATTACCTCTGCTAAGGGTTTGCTCCATGTCTAATATTGACAAAACAGAAAATGTATTTTATCTACTGGTAGAGATATGTTAACTTGTATCTCTCTCAAGTGATTAATGAGACCATATTTT